GCGCTGCCGCGCGGGCCCCACCGGCAGAGCAGCTGCCCCTTACGGGGCGTGACGACGACCACAGCCACTGCTTCTCTTTTGTTGCCGCCCTCCAGCCCGCAGAACCAACGCAGCGGTTGTGGTCATTTCCGTCGAGCTCGGCACCAGGGAAGTGACCACAACCACTGCTTCTTTTTCGGCCGGCTGGAAGGCGGCGCAAACAAGAAGCAGTGGCTGTGGTCATTTTCCCGTCCCGCACCACGGGACGCGTACGCGGGAGATCGCCATGGGGGAAACGAGTCCTGAGGGAACTGTGTCCTGAAGCGTCTCGCTGTTTTCGGGCTCCTGGGCCCTGGGCCTTGGGAGTGCCAGAGAACGACTCAGGAGGAGGATCTCGTCCTGGGGGAAGGCCCCGGGGTCCAGGACCCGTTTCCCTCAGGACCTGCTTCCCCCATGCTAACGGAGAGGGCGACCATCCCGCCGCCGCCCCCTGCGGCAGGTTCGTGCCGCGTCGCTGCGGCGGCGACACCGGCGTGGGCGGTACAGGTTGACTGCCGCCAGTGTCCTGGACTCAGCCGACGTTGAGCGATCTGTACGGTCGGAAAGCCGTGATGGAGCCATCCACGGTGCGGGGGGGGAGGGGGGGAATGGGAAAGGGAGGAGGGTGATGGGGGGAGAACTGGTGCATGGGGCAAGGAAGGCGGGTGATGGTGTCGAGGACGGGGGAGAGAAGAACTGAGGGAAGAAGGGGATGAGGATAAGGATGAGGAGGTGGAGGAGGAGGAGGAGGAGGAGGAGGAGGAGGAGGAGGCGGAGGAGGAGGAGGAGGAGGAGGAGGAGGAGCAGGAGGAGCAGGAGGAGGAGGAGGAGGAGGAGGAGGAGGAGGAGGGAGGGCGGAGGAGTCGCGGGATGAGTAAGGGGAGGAGACAGAGAGGAGGTACTGTTCCATCCGTTCATTTTGGGCGTGCCGGTCCACCCGTCGTTGAACAACCGTGGGGCTACGTTTGACGGGATTTCCTGGCGGTCGGCGGCGGGTGGTTCGCGGAAGGACGCGGAAGTAATGCACTGGACGCGTAAGTATAGCACCAGTCATTTATGTTCTTTATTTCAGGTGTCCCTGTCAGGACTGTTATGCGCAGCTCCGAGTCTCGAGGTGTCCCCCGCTTGCAGGAAGTTGCCGTCGAACATCCGCTTCGTTCCTTCTGCACTCTTCCCCGAATCCCACCCCAGCGAGGATCATCATAGGCTTCACCAGTGAGGACCATCATAGGCCTCACACCCCTTGCGGCTGTCATCATCGGGGCCGCTTGGGTCGCCTTCTCCCACCAACACGCCAATACAGTACGGCGTCAGTTGCCAATGGAGGGGGCCGAGGCTCTCCCAACGGTCTTTCGGCCAACGACGACGGCCGTAGGGAGGGGTGCCAACGTACCTCCACAACTGAGACCTTGAGACCTTAAGGCGCCAATTGCCGCCATTCGCTGTTTTCCTCCTCAGGGCCGTGAGCGGGTCTTATTCCCCTGGTGGCGGATTGTGCCTGTCAGCGTCAGTTCACCTCCGCATTACTTTCGCAGGACGAAGGATTTCTTCTTGAGGTGCACATGGGGATGATGAGCTGGACGTTCATGTCCGAAGCCCGTTCCCCCGTATAATTTTAGCACGGGCGCGTTTCGGGGTCCGCAGATCCGATGTTATTTGGTTTCCCGTTTTCATTTGATATAATGAAAACTCCAAACGGGGTAAAAATCGGATCCACCGTAACAAATAATACCGAACACGGATCCAGCAAATCCGAAATCGGATCCGTGCGGACGGAAATTGGATCCACCAGAACATACACCAAAACCACATTTGTTTTCGCGCGAATTTCATGGTATCCGACGGCGGTTATCTCATACGCGTCAGCTCAAGACTTCAAGGCGTCGTTCCGGGCCCAAGAGGAAACAACTTTCGTCATGGGATGGGCGTCTTGGCCTTCGGACTTGTTGGTTACCACATAGCCGACACACCACATCTCACAGGCAGTCCGTTGTTGATTACCACGTAGCCGACACACCATATCTCACAGGCAGTCCTCTGGGGCAGGAAACGCAGGACCGAAACGCATGGGCGTCTCGGCCTTCGGACTTGTTGGGTACCACATATCCGACGCACCATATCCCACAGTCAGCCCGTTGGTGTTTGCCCCATAGCCGACACGCCACATATCACAGGCAGTCCGTTGGGTCAGGAGACGCGGGGTCGCAATGCATGGGCGTTTTGGCATTCGGATTTGTTGGTTACCACATAGCCGACACACCATATCTCACAGGCAATCCGTTGTTGATTACCACATAGCCGACACACCACATCTCACATGCAGTCCGTTGGGTCAGGAAACGCAGGGCCGCAACGCATGGGCGTCTCGGCCTTCGGACTTGTTGGTTACCACATAGCCGACACACCACATTTCACAGGCAGTCCGTGGTTGATTACCACATCGCCAACACGCCACATTCCACAGGCAGTCCGTTGGGTCAGGAAACGCAGGGCCGCAACGCACTTACGCAGGACGAAGGATTTTCTTTTTGAGGTGTGGATGGCGATGATGAGTTGAAAGTTCATGACCGAACCCCCTTATCCCGTAGAATCTCAACGCCGCGGCGTTTCATGTGCCGCCTCGGCGTAACTCATGTTGTCGTTCCCGCTCACCACCCCTTACCCGAGCACTTCGAGGACTGTAACCGCAGGTTGGGGCATTTCGACATCTACCGTCCCAAACCCGACTTGCCCGTCCGTCCCCCTCCCCTTTTCGCTCCCTTTCCCGTCCCCCTGCCCTCTTTTTCTCCCCCCTCCCCTTCCTCTCTCGCCCCCCTGTGTGTCTTCGCTCCCTTCCTTTCCCTTCCTTCCCCTTCCTTTCCCCTCCCTCCCCTCCCTCCCCTCCCCCTTCGAACACATTTACTTCATTACATCCCTCCTTCAGGTATCCCTGCCAGGATCGTTGGGGGGACCCCATTGTGTTCGGAGCCACCAACCAGTTGTTCGGGGGGGATTGGCACTTTCTACATTTCAGATCGGTGTGTGCGGTTGTGCCCGTGTGTGTGCATGCGTGTCCTGTGTGTGTGTGCGTGTGTTATACTTCTACTTTTCTGATCGGGGTGTGAGGTCGCGTGTGTGTGTGTATGTGTGTGTGTCTGTGTGTTTTGGGTGTGCCGGCCCATCCGCTGTTTGATCTCCGTGTCTTCGAGCGTATTGGTCCATCCGTTCATTTTGGGCGTGCCGGTCCACCCGCCGTTGAACAACCGTGGGGCTACGTTTGAAGGGATTTCCTGGCGGTCGGCGCCGGGTGGTTCGCGGAAGGACGCGGAAGTAATGCAGTGGACGCGTAAGTATAGCACCAGTCATTGATGCTCCCTATTTCAGGTGTCCCTGTCAGGACTGATATGCGCAGCTCCGAGTCTCGAGGTGTCCCCCGCTTGCAGGACGTTGCCGTCGAACATCCGCTTCGACCCTTGCCCTCTTCCCCAAACCCACCCAGGCGAGGACCATCATAGGCCTCACCAGCGAGGACCATCATAAGCCTCATTCCCCTTGCGGCTGCCATCGTCGGGGCCGCTCGGGTCGCCCTCTCCCGCCAACGCACCAACACATTACGTCGTCAGTTGCCAATGGAGGGGGCCGAGGCTCTCCCAACGGTCCTTCGGCCAACGACGACGGCCGTAGGGAGGGGTGCCAACGTACCTCCGCAACTGAGACCTTGAGACCTTAAGTCGCCAATTGCCGCCATTCATTGTTTTCCGCCTCGGGGCCGCGAGCGGGTCTTATTCCCCTGGTGGCGGATTGTGCCTGTCAGCGTCAGTTCACCCCCGCATTACTTTCGCAGGACGAAGGATTTCTTCTTGAGGTGCACATGGAGATGATGAGTTGGACGTTCATGTCGGAAGCCCCTTGCCCCCGTATAAATTTAACACGGGCGCGTTTCGGGGTCCGCATATCCGATTTTATCTGGTATCCCGTTATTCATCGAATACAAGGCAAATGTTCAACGGGGTAGAAATCGAATCCGCCGTAACAAAATAGACCGATCACGGTTCCAGGAAATCCGAATTCGGATCCGCGCGGACGGAAATCGGATCCACAGGCACAAACACCAAAATCACATTTGGCTTCGCGCGAATTTCATGGGACCCGACGGCGGTTATCTCATACGCGTTTGCTCAAGACTTCAAGCCGTCGTTCTGTGCCCAACAGGAAACAACTTTTGTCATGGGATGGGCGTGTTGGCCTTCGGACTTGTTGGTTACCACATAGCCGACACACCACATCTCACAGGCAGTCCGTCCTTGGTTACCACATAGCCGGCGCACCACATCTCACAGGCAGTCCGTTGGGTCAGGAAACGCAGGGCCGCAACGCATGGGCGTCTTGGCCTTCGGACTTGTTGGTTAGCACACAGCTGACACACCACATTTTATAGGCAGTCCGATGTTGGTTGCCAAATAGCCGACGCGCCACATCTCACAGGCAATCTGTTGGGTCAGGAGACGCGGGGCCGCAACGCATGGGCGTCTTGGCGTTCGGATTTGTTGGTTACCACATAGCCGACACACCACATTTCACAGGCAATCCGTTATTTGGTTACCGCATGACCGACACACCACATCTCACAGGCAGTACGTTGGGTCAGGAAACGCAGGGCCGCAACGCATGGGCGTCTCGGCCTTCGGGCTTGTTTTGTTGGTTGCCACACAGCCGACACCACGTTTCACAGGCAGTCCGTTGTTGGTTACCACATAACCGACACGCCGCATACCACAGGCAGTCCGTTGGGTCAGGGAACGCAAAGCCGCAACGCACTTACGCATGACGAAAGATTTCCCCCTTGAGGTGCCAATGGCGATGATGACTTGGAAGTTAATGACCGAACCCTCTTCCCCCGTATAGTGTCACCGCCGCGGCGTTTATGTGCCGCCGCGGCGTCATTCATGTCGTCGCTCCCGCTCACCACTCTTTACCCGAACACTTCGAGGACTGTGAACCGC